ATATATATATATATATATATATATATATATATATGAGCTTGTACTATATCCAAAAATTACCATATTTTTCGGAGTATAAACACACCCTTTTCTCCCCTAAAAGAGGGTGAAAATTTGGGTGCTTCTTATACACTGAATGTAGCCCCGCCCACCCACAGGGCCCCACCCTTTGGCCTCTGCCTCCCAGCAATTTACCTCCTTGCAGCAAAGGCTGCAGCTATCCCTACAGCCTGAAACAGCTGATCATGAGGAAGCCCCCTTAAACTGATGAGTAGAAGAGTAGCTGGATGACTTTCAGCGAGTAAAACTCTTTCAGCCCTAAGATACAGACAATAGCAAGCCTCTTCCAAAAATCTTACCAAGAAAACTGCCAGGCGCCAACACTGATTTCAAGGGATACATGCCACTCACACGCACGTACAAATTTAATATTGAAAACTTTAATGAAAATTACAATACTTATAAAAACTGTGTTTTGTCATTATTTTTATTATAACTTTAATAAAAAGAAAACCTGTATTATCGTGTCTTAGGATAATGAATTCTACTGGTTAATTATCGGCTGTACTTTTTTGTGTGTTTTAAATCTGCTTCATATCAGCATCACTGGATAATTTCTGTTCTGAAACAGGAAAACATCTCCACGTCCACTTTTTCCATATTATAACAGCATTGTTTCCACTTCAATAGAGATCCTTTCCCAGGCCTTTTTAAGTCGCAAATGTTCTACTTTGAAAAGTAAATCAGAGCCTTCATTCCTCTAATAATTTTAGTTGCCTCTTACGCACTTTCCCTACTCTATGACATCTTATTCCAAAACATGGTAGCCACAATTGTATACACAATATTCCAAATAGCAGAGATTTGCATAAACGGCACAACCATGTTTTTTCGATTCCTTTCTTAAAACGACGATACGGAACTCATATCGAAAAGAAATACATGGCGGACACGTAAACATAAGCGACTCAAGTTACTTCTGTTACACGCCTTTATACACTTGTATTTACCATGTCTGCATAGCAACCCAGGGATTCTGGGGGGCATACACTACCCGCTTAAAGAAACCCCGCTGAAACTACCGTACACGAGGGTCACGGCTACAAGACCAGGAGGTTCCATAGGACCCCCTTTTGACACCCCTCGGGGAGAAGGCTTATCCGGGGCTCGTTCCGAGAAGCCTCACAAGGAAGTGGATCCGCTGAGATCTATTTTTGGCACGCCTGGAGAGCCAGATCAATCTCGATTTTTGAGCCGTTTCAAGGGCTGAGCTCCAGAGGGAGCGAGACTGCAGCTATTGAGCAAAAGCAAAAAAAACCCCATTACGTTCCCCCCGAAACTCCCGTGGAATTCACAGGGGAACTTGTAGAATTTATAAAGGGAGGAAGGGAACCGTGCGAGGATCCCAGAGGGAGCTCCGGAGAAGCGCTAGCCCCGGAGCTGGAAAGAGCACGTGGGGCTGCCGAAGAAGGCGCGGCCTGCAATGGGTCAGACCAGGGAAGGGCGCTCGGTCTGGACCTCGGACCAGAGATTCCCGCCCCGCTGGCACTCCGGAAGCTCCCTCGAGGGAGCCCGACGGTCGCTTACTTGCAGGCTGGCCTTGGCTTGGCCGAAGGGCTTCCTGAAGAAAGAGGTGCGAGCCGTGAAGAAAAACTCCTCGGACTCCGATTCTTCCCAGCTGCTGTAGCCGCTACTCATGCTGCTCGTCCAAGTCATGGGCGCCCCCCCGTCGCCGTCTCTGCAGGGGCCCCAAGGCGTCCCCGCCGCCACATGGGGATCCGCCGGTGCGAGGCTCGGAGGCGGCGGTTCCTCCCGCGACGCCCTGCGGCCACTTCGCCCTCCAGCCTACGAGTGCGAGTGGGCCCGCCCTGTCGGAGGCGGCACCGTTTAGCCCTCCCCGAGCGGGCGAGGGGAGGCGGTCCCGGAGCTGCTCTCGGCCACCTGTGTGCGCGGCTGGCGCGCCTCCTCGCTCGCTTCCTCTTCCCCTGTTGAACTGGACCGACGGGCGGTCTTCCCCTGCCCCCCCCCCCAAGCAGGTGACCTAAGCGGGATTTCGTTTCCATGCAGCTATTTCATGCCCCTTGAAAACCACTTTAGCTTAAGGCTACTTAGCGGAGTTTGTCAGAGACTTACTGGAAGCCTAATTTGGGGTGATACGTTTGAATGCAATGCAAAACCCTTGAGGCAGATGACGGATGCATTCTCCAGTTTTATTTCCTAATGTCAGATCATCCCAGCTCCTTGAGAAAAGGAGATAACATTATTAGGTAATACAACTCAGCTTTTGACTTTAAAAAGAACTCATTTTTTTAATAAGATTTTATAAATATTCTTGTCTCTGCAAAGATCTGCAAACAGAAACCCCAACCACAAATTTCAACTCAAAGTACTACTAAATAGTTGAACTTACCGAAAAGCAACCTAATTATCCATTCAAGATATTTATTCTGAAACACACCTCAGCCAGCTATTTACATTCTATTTCCCGTAGCCTTCAGTAAATAAAGTCTAATGTATGAAATCCAGTTTTTTTTTAAAGACTTACATTTTTATATACTAAGGAATTGTATTCCAAGCAGCTTAAGGGGTTTTAATAGATTTAGACTTTAATTTCAGATAGAACAAAACTCAAGGAAGAAGTATGTTCTCCATAATCAATGTGCAAAAGCTTTAGATATTTAATTACTCTGAGCCAGAGGAATAAAATCAGTATGTGAACACTGGTATCTGGTTTGTAGGAGAACTTTTTTATTTTTCTTTAAAAAAAAAAACACAAATATGTCATCATTTGTCNCACTTTTATTAAATTAATACCTGCAAATGAAATAAATAGATAGTAGACAGAATGATGCAGTTGTCTGCTAGTGGCAACACTAGCTTATAAAATAAATACAATTGTTTTTTAAAAATAACCCATCTTTTATTCATTTTCTGTGGGAGGAGATGGAAACTATTATTCTGGGAACCAGTTGTCTTTATTACATAAACTCATTGAAGAATAAGACAGCATTAATTTAATAAAAGTGTAAACCAGATCTTTTCAAGGGAATAAAGGAATCTCTACAGATGTTAACAGTTGTTTTCAATAATAAAGACTTGAATTTAAATGAATTTATAAAGTGTTTTCACATATGTAAACAAGCCTCTTGTGGATCTTTAATTTTGCAAATTCCTGAAATTCTTCTGTTTGTTAAGCTATTATCATCTTTAAAAATTATCCTCCTCTCTCTCTAGATGCAAGCAAGAGAAAAATGCTAAGGAATGTGCTTAGCTACAAGACTGAACAGTTGTAATTAACAATGGTGAAATCGGATAATCAATCAATCAATCAATCAATCAATTTCATGGTTTGTATCTTTGAATACAGAATGTTTCTGAGACAGCTGTATCTCAACTAATCCCTGAAGCGCAATTATCATTTTGAGTAGCACAGTGTAACAGAAAGTAGAAATAAAGCTATGTGCTCATTACAAGGAACTAGGAGATCTCTTTTTTATTACATAATAGATGAACAGAAACTAATCTGGTAAATTCAAGATCTCTCTCTTTCTCCTGGCTATTCACCTGCAAGTTTGATCTATTATACGTTATTCTCTAATCTACAGGAATGTAACACCTTCAAATGGGGTTGAACTGTGGAATTGTGGCTGCTCTCTGAGCTTGGTTGTTTTCTTTCAATCATTTGATTATCCAACTAGAAAACTTCATCAGTGCTAAAAGGGAATGGAGTTTGACACCACTCCCTTCTAGCACTGATGATGTAACCTAGTTGGGTAATGAAACATATGTAAGAAAAACAACCAAGCTCAGAGAGCACCAAAGATTCTACTTCCAAATATCAACTGTAATGTTAGTTTGCCGAACCCCCGCCCCTCTGGTATTTTTTTTTAATAAAACATTTTCAGATGGGGGAGTAATGTTTAAAAATTAGGACACTTGATGAACTGTAAGTTTAATATATTATGATCTACTACAATTTAAATGAATGTAAAATATTTACAGGGATGTTAATTATTTTAAAAGAAAAACAAACTTGATCAAATAAATCATAAATGTACGGTTACTTACCTTGAGTAGCAATATAGTGATTTGGTCGATGATAGCCCTGAAATATTTCAAATATTTTGTGACTAGCTTTATCACAAGTACAAGATGAGAAATATAAAAATTATCATATAGAAATTACTTTCGTATAAACCTCTAGAGATCTTAGTAGTAAGCACTGCTTTAAATTTAATAGTAAATAAATAATTGAAATAGTAAATAAATGAAACATGATCTCAATGTGAAAAATAATATTGAAATTAATAGTTGTCAGTGGAACTGTGCAAAATAATATTTTAGTAGCTACCATTGCAGTTTAGAAACATGTAAATGATATAACGATCTATTGTATTGGACAATGTTCACAATCACAATATAAATTGTCTATATCAGTGCTAGTCAACCTCATCCCTACCGCCCACTAGTGGGTGTTCCAGCTTTCATGGTGGGCGGTAGGGGTTTGCGGTAACTCTGCTTTATAAATTTTATAAAGTAAAATTACTTCCCTACTTTATAAATCACCATTACTGTGAAACCGGTGGGCATTAGAAAATTTTAGTACTAACAGAGATACAAAAGTAGATGGTAGGTATAAAAAGGTTGACTACCCCTGGCCTATATGCAGTGTACTCACAAGAAGATTAATTGTTGCATCACCAAACATAAACTCCTATTTGCGTTCCATTTTTTGAATACATTCAATGTTTTTGAAGGAGAAAAGATATGCTTCAGACTGTACATCTACATATAGTTTTATAATTTATGTATTTGCATAATTACAAATGCATATATAACTGCAAATGAATATATAACTAAAATCTGGTCTACCTAAAGGTCATCTTTATTGACTTACACATATCTGTAAGAATTACTGAATGCAATGTTATTCACAGCAGTATCCTACTAATTATATGACTAAAGTTAATACTAGATGTTCACAATCTTTTGCAATTAAATCCTTATGAAATGTTTTCAAATTATCATGGTTCACAAGTGGAAAAATCATTTTACTGAATGCATGCATTTGGACTGGTTGTTCAAATCAAGTTGGGAAAAAAGATAAAACAATTAATTTTTTTCCTAAAAGTCATAAACATTATAAATATATATTGTGTGAGCAGACTACCTTAATAATTTAGATTTTAGAGAACACCAAATAATTGATATTTATTTGGGTCTAGAAGAAATTNCCTCTAAAGCTAATGTGTCCAGAGCATCTTATAATCCAAAAAATATGGTACATTTTTCACTAGTTACTATCTGGAGAGGCTAACAGTGTAAAAAAAAAACTATTATGGCATCTTAGTGTGGCGAATTGCAACTTCGAATTGCAGCTGCCAACAAAATACATTAGAAACAGAGCTCAAAATGTCATTTGATTTTCTGAGGCCAAAAAATACATGACGCAGTAACCAAAATAACAGCATCTAAGTCATTTAATTAAAAGTTCAAAAATGTGATTCTTCTTAATGTAACCTTATGGAATACTAAAACTGTTAATGCACAATCTCTATGGAGAGTTTCCACAGCATGTGAGTCAATTAGTATGCAAAACTGTGGAACCAGTATTCTGATTGGATAATTACCATGAACAATATATATATATTGTTCATAGTACCGGGCATAAAGTCAACATTTGGGATTTTAAGAAATCCATTCTAGATGTTTTTCTTGTTAAATTAAATTTTCTTATATAATTTAAATGTGAAGATAATGTCTGAAAGAACTTGTATTTTACGCACTGAAAAAAGAATAGTCCTCAAGATTGAATTTTAACAAAATCTAAATCTTGGTTTAATCCCTTTGCATATTAAACTATGGAACTGCTAGAATGATCTCCCCAAACCTTAATTTCAGAACCTTCTTTGTCATTGTGTCTGCCCTTTGGAATATCTCATCCCCAAGTGAGGTCAACTCCTTATCATACTCCCTCCTCATATTTTTAGCTAGATTGATTTTTTATAATATTGTATTTATATTATATAACATGACATAAACATAGCTTTTAATATTGTAAACTGCTTAGAGTTATCATGCGATAAGATGGGCAGCTAGTAAATTTTACAAATAAATAAATATATAAATAAGTAGTAATGGTATTTTGGTATTTTGTGTGATTAAAAAAATGCTTCTATAATGGGATAAAAGCATTCCCTAAAACAATGATTCTTGGTCAGTAGCATATTACAATACTGTTTGCCATACTGTAGCCATTAGCAGTAGCACTTAGACTTATATACCGCTTCTTAGTGCTTTATAGCACTCTCTAAGTGGTTTACAGAGTCAGCATATTTTCCCCAACAATCTGGCTCCTCATTTTACTGACCTCATAAAGATGGAAGCCTGAGTCAACCTTGAGCCGGTGACAATTGAACTGCTGACAGTCAGCAGAATTAACCTGCAATACTGCATTCTAAACACTGTGCCACCACGGTTTTTATAAATAACTAAAGTATTAATTATTTCTTTAATGCTTACTATAAATAGTAAATGTAACAATATACATTTCATTTTCAGAAAAAAGTGGCCTTTTGGGGATTTTCAATGAGGATGTGGCAAACTGAAGCCGTCCTTATAGAAGCAGGGAGATTGTGGCTGTCCCATATTTGGATATTATTTGAAGGACTAAAGACCAAGATTGTTGGTAGCGAAAGAAAAATATAAAATCAGTTTATTTGGTCTTGGCTGAAATAGATAGGTTGCTAACTCTGGCAATCTTTAATCGTTTTGTTTCCTGACTAGGACTAGATGATGATATTTTATAGATAAGAGTTATAACAGAAGACGGTCATTTGTCATTTTAAATTTATCTGATTAAGTTTAAAACAATTATGTTGTTACCTCTGTAACTTTTATTTGATTTTTTACAGATTGGATTTGAATGATGAGGTTTGAGGAATTTTAAAAGTAAAAAAAACCCCAGATATGCGTGAAAGGAATGAATTCAAGTAAGTTTATTAGATCAAGTTTATAGATCTGTTGTTATTTTTGGTAACTACTAATTGATTTTAACTGATTAAGATGAATGATGAGTTTTTAAAGATCTGTTTATAGGTAATGAAAGCATGAGATGAAGAAATTATTTTATTTTAAAGAGATGTGACTTGTTAAAGTTCTTTATACAGGTAGTCCTCGAATTACAACCACAAGCGAGTCCAAAATTTATGTTGCTAAGTGAAACATTTGTTAAGTGAGTTTTGCCCCATTTTACAAAATTTCTTGCCACAATTGTTAAGTCAGTCATTGGACTTGTTAAAGTTAGTAACATCATTGTTAAGTGATCACTTGATCCAGGACACTGCAACTGTCATAAGTATGAGTTAGTGTGAAAAATGATCATAAGTCACTTTTTTCAGTGCCATTGTAACTTTGAATGTCACTAAATGGGACATTCGAGGACTACCTGTACTTGCTCAGTTGAAGGGGAAAGTTACTTTATTTTCTCTCTCTACCTTTTTTGCTTTTTTCTTCACCATATTTTTACTTTTTAATTTTTTTATACATTATTATTTTACTATTATAATCTGTATTAGTTTTATCTGTCCAATGTAATTTTCAGTGAAATTATATAGAAAAAAAAGAAAAAGTATCCTTTTTCTTTCTATTAAATGACACCCTGGTCTTTGACAAAGTGATTGATAGGACTTATGACCTAAATGATTAGACCTACAATGATTTCACAGCATATTCAGATACAAAATGAGAAGAAATAAGCATGAAGGACACTAAAGAGAATTTAAAACTGAAATTATGACGCTAAAAATGAGGTAAGCTCCTGTTGTAGGAGACACTGCTTGTTTTATTTATGTGGTTTATTAAGTATCATTAAACTTGAGCATTATTTGTATGAAATATGCAGTTATAGCTTAATGCAACCTTAGGATATTTATGGTTAGCTTCTAATGAGGATGAATAGAGAGCTGGGCAAAGGTAAAAACTCTTATAATTTAAGAAGTCCTTAAAATGATTATGTTTTATCACTTATTAAAATAATGCATGGTTGAAGAATAGAGCCAAAGTACGGGCTAGCAGATATCATAGTTAAAATTATATCATAATGGATAAACATTTCATCATACTTTTGTTTAAATAATTTAATTATTTCATGTCATTATTTAAGTCAAATTATTATATGCTTAATAATAGTCCTGGTTTTTTTTCATTATATGAAAAATATCCAATGATTAAAAGAGGGTGAATATATTTAGAATGACTTTCTTTTACAATTTGAGTAACTAATCTGCAATCTAAGACATTTGGGCAATGGTACAGAAACTGATGATCCAGAGGCACTACCACCATAACATCTCAGATGCTATTTTCAGAGACCTCCAAAGAAAAAAGTCTGATCAAAATATAACACAAATGAAGAATTGTTAAAAACCTGACTGATGAATGATCATGTAATTACAAAATTAATTCAAATATAAATAAAACAAAATCAAATTTAGCTTTTGTATTGGCCAAGTAAAGGTCCTTAGCCAAGTAAAAATTACTCCTTGTTAGATAGGCCTCCAGATTATATACTGATAGAACAAAACAAAATTAATCACGTAAATTAAACACACATACAATGTGGGTCAGAAGCAGTGGTGGGTTCTGGATCCCGTCGCAACCGGTATGCTGTGACGGGGCTGGGTGTCCACCTCGGGCATGTGTGCTGTGCACGCATGTGCACTCACCACCCTGCGATGCACCAGCTGCTGGTGGAGGTCGTGCAGATGCCGTATGCTGTGTGTGCATGCACAAATGACCCAGTTGGCTTAAATACAGGTAAGGTACATGGGTGGCCCCTCCAAAACACTGTTCCCGTACGATGGCTGCTGCTCCCAGCTGCCACCAGTATGCCAGTACTGGGGCGCACTGCCCAGAACCCA